CAGTCATGTTCAATTCCCGGTAAATTTGTATTTGTATAGACTTTTGCGAGAACAGAATGTTCGCATTTCAGTCAAAAATCACACATCTCATCAATAGAAGGAAAAATATAAATAAAATATTTAACCTTTAAGGCTACTGAGAAATTCTGAAGAAACGCGCTCTCGGTTTGCAAGGATTCTGGCAGGATAGGGAACTGGGAAATTGCTGTAGAGAATAATTCGAGAGGGTAATAATCGATAAGAAGAATGTGTCGACGTATGAGAGCAGTATCTAGATAAATCGCCATGTACAGGGTAGTTGGGGTCAAAGAGGATTTTCTGGGCAAATGTTTCACATGCGGACAAGTGAAGTTCACACAGTTTTTTAGATAGTTCATCAACGGGTATAAAAGACACACGATTGATGATCGACAAACCTCAACGAAGAATTTTGAAGTCTTTCTTTAGTAGACCAGAAAATACCATCAGGGAACAATAAAGAAGAACAGGAAAAACACGTTGATAAATGAAAAATGAAATGATTTTTTGCTTGGCATTGAACTGCCTAAGTCTTCGAAGTTGGAAAGATAATCTGCGAAGTTTCTGTACAGAGTTGTAAATATGGGATGTGTCAATGGTAACTCCTAGATACTTCACAGAATCAACTCTAGTTAGGGGATCCGTATTTATGACAGACTGATCACGAGGATAAACATATCGAGAAAGGGAGAAAGTGCATTCGGAGCACTTGGATAAATTAAGTGACAGTTCAGAACGAACGGAAAATTCATGGATATGCGATAGATTATTCCTCAGGCACAGGAACGGCTTGGCAGAGGGTTACGTCATCAGCATATTTAAATAACTGGGCTGGAGAACTCGCAGACAGATCGCTGATGTAGGTGGAAAACAAGAACGGAGACAATGCAGCACCCTGTAGTACTCCCGAATTATTCACGAGTGGTTTAGACTTTTTCCTACCGAACCGAGTATGCTGAGTTCTGTTTGTCAAGTAGTGGACGAGCCACACCAGTAGGTGCTTGGGACAGCCAAATGATTCCAGTTTACGAAGGAGGAGGGAACGTGGAACAGAATGAAGAGCTGATGAAAAATCTAAGGATACCTCTTACAGATTTCACTGATGCGTCTAAGGATTTGGTAACGTAAATGCAAATTGTGAATGAGTTCAAACCAGATCGATTTCCTTTTCTGTTCCTCGCCCATTCAGTTATCCCCTTCCGACTCCAGCATACAAAACGCACGATCGCGGCTTTTGTCTGCCGCGAAAACATATCGTCCTTCCGCACCTCCGAATCTTTCCCTGACTAGTTCCACTGCAATGAATACCTCTTTGAACAGTATTATTGTGGCTGATATAGCCAGAGGTGGTGACTCGCAAGGTGGATCTGGTCTGATGCATTCGAACGCCCTGTTCTCGATAACGTCGAATCAGGAACAGAGTCTTCTCGGACACGGTCCCAATCCGTGGATTCCCAATAACCCCACACGATCAGTGGACGATCAACCACAAGATGAACCCTCGACAACTAGTTCAATGAATGCCGCCACCTTCGAAACGGTTGACGATGGAGATTCTGTTTCTGATGCCGATGCACTGGTTAGTTTAACTCTCCTTCGGTTTCAAAATGTTTGGTTTGTCGGAGAAAATATATTCTTCTTGCCTGATGTTTCGTATCGGATAATAATGATCATGATGTTAATATAATAGCCTATCCGTCCGGGTCTTGATTACCCCCCCC